TTTCAAAAATATTTTCACCACGCACTTACTCTTACATACACCCAAATATTTTGCATAATTTTTATGATTTAAAGAATATGCGAAATTGCTACGCACACTTCTGGCGGACGCCCATAAATAGGCGAAACCAGAGAATGTAAAACTGAGCCGAAATATATGTACATCTTTATTTGTACTTACCACTGGCGTAAATAAATGAAGGACGCGAAATAATACAGCCGTCAGAGGCTAGGCTGCTATTGAAAATATACGGTGTTTTGTTGTCGTGTGTTTCTGTTATTGCTGGCTGTCAGTGGCACAACCCACTCGACGAGTACGCTCGTGTTACTTTGATAGCGCTCTTGGGTAAATTTACACTCACGCTACTATAGCGGTTACTCTCTCAATTATCTTTTATGTTTTCTATGTTCATTCGCTACGTTGTTATTGTTGTTGTGGTTGCTGCGCTCGCACAATCAGCTGTCAGAATGGTAAGGATATTGTTTTGAAATATTTGGCAAAAATTATGTGATAAAAATAAAACTGAAAGGAAATGGTGAAGAATGAGGAGTAACACATGAAAATTGGCAAATTCAAACACACACACACATGAACACAATATACATATCGCATTTTTAGCTCACTTTTAGGCGGTTTTGCATGTTATATTTGCCGCTTGTTTTGCTTAACTGAACGCGAAAACACATGGGCGCACACATATACATATTTCATGGACCTATACTAACATTTTTGCTGAGGATTTTTTACTTTTAAATGTTGTGCTTTGTTGCAAGCTTGGTAAATTGAATGTGAAAAAATATTTTATTTTATTATGTTTAATTTATCGCTTAACACTTTATGTTTTTGTAAGTTATTTATTTATTTTTTTTAATTTTACTTTTTTTATATTCGCAATCAATTCTTAAAAACTTTCGTTTGCTCTTTTTTTTGAAATTTGCACTAACTTCCACTTTAATTTCTATTTCCACTATCATTTCCTCTTACCTTCACTACACATGCACACACA